CTGCGAGTGTGAGTGTATGTCAGTTTGGGACACTGATTCTCACAATCTTTGAGTGTTAAAGGGTTCACTCTAAAACAAAAAAGAAATCTGTTATTAATTTCTCACTCTCATATCGTTCCAAACCCCGAGACCTTCATTCATCTTCAGACCACATATTAAAATATTCTGATTGAACCACTGTGGGCTGTTTTGGGGATCTTTTTTGGTACAAGTCGGGATCTTTCCTGTCTATTTTGTTTGATCTAAAATATCTTAATTTGTGTTTTGAAGATGAACAAAGCACATAGCACAATGGAATTGAAACGATTGTGTAATTATTAGCAAACCTTTAATTTTTGGATAAATTAATACTTTAAAGAGGACCCAAAATAAATTTTTTGCTTCCTTTTCTGCATTTTTTTTATTTAAGTTATAATTAGTTGAAATAATACCTACTAAATGTTAGTTTTTGTGAATTATGGTAAGAAGGTGGAATATCAGTCATTCTAGCCCTAGGAGTGATTTACAAATATTTCTTCTGAGGGCATTTGTTCCCCTACTGTTATATATCCAAGTGTAAGTGGTTTGTCCTCTCATGACCCCATTAAACATCAGGCTCTAGAAGCCGCAGACAGATTTTACTGAGGCACTTCATTCACAGAGGAAAAGAAAGGCCAAACCAGGTGAAAACAGTCAGTTTTTTGACACAAACTCATACCGTAATTGATTTAAAAAGTGATTTAAAGGAAGTATCATTGCAAAAGATTTTAATCCTTAAAGAGGATGGACTTACTGACCCTAAATTCAAAAGAGTATTTAAGGCTGTTATAGCATAGCAAATCTGTGGACTGATTGTGGCCTGCTTATACTGTAAGAAGTTATTGTTCGTATATGCTTTGTTTCTGTTGATATTACTGTTTTAGTCATTGCAAAACCATTAACTATCTCTGGGAAATGAATTATCCCTGTTTAGTTGTTCGAGTTATACATATCATTTGCTATTTACCTTTTTATGAACAGCTGATTTCCTCCACTTACTCCATAAACACCAAAACTGTTCTTGGCACAATTTTATTATTTCGTTTTTTTTTTTTTTTTTTTTTTTAACTTTCAAAGAGTAACCGGATTGCATTTAGGACATCATTTATTTATTTATTTTTATTAATTCATTCATCCATTCATTTATTTTCCTTCGGCTTAGTCCCTTTATTCATCAGGGGTAACCACTGTGGGATGAACCGCCAACTTATTCAGCATATGTTTCAAACTGCAGATGCCCTTGCAGCATTATTATTATTATTATTATTACTATTTTTTTCATCTTATTATTATTATTACTATTATTATTACTATTATTATTATTATTATTTTATGTTCTATTAAAGATAAAAGTCAACAACATTTTTTATTGCCAAAACCAATTAACAACTTGGGGTAAAGAAAACAGAGTATTATGTTTCAAAATGTACACAAGGAATGTCCTGCTCCTTCTGTTTTTAATAAAACATTATAGCTAAAAATAGTAAGGAAATGCTTTACATTGAGATTGCTGTGGCATAAACATGTTTGCTCATCTGAGGCTAATGGGAATGTGCTATTTGTTCGGTTGAATGGAATGCAGAGGCTTAATGTGATAAAAAAAAAATCCCTATGGAGCACCCGATGACTGGAGCGAGATGTATTCGTGCTGAGAGATACAGTACAATATAATATCCAACCTTATTGTTCTGTCTTGCCTCACAAACTTATAATGTTGCAAATAATTGTTTTACAGATTTTTTTAGTTTGAGGTCGAAAATTGAGCTGGAAGAGGATAATGTATAGGCTGTGTTAATTAAGCACTCCACTGATTAAATGTGTCGTCTCCCTAATGCTCCTTTCATTCATTTCCCACAACCCATCAACTCTCCATTTACAATATGACATCTTACTATAATCTCATTTGCATTGTTTGACGTATATATACTCCATGACCCTGTATCTAAGACCCTTCTGCACGGTTTGGCTTACATTTCACAAATTCCCTTAGAGACTGATGATTCATAGCTTCTGGTCAGTTTTTAGCATTACGCATTTGTACAGATTTTTTGTCCTGTTGCTGTCTCAAAATGCTTTACAAAGCATAGCTCAGAACAAATTATATTATGGTAACAATTTACAATGTTGTACATGCTTAATGTACAAATATCTGCATTAATAGTTAGTTTAGCATGAAGCGATGGTGAATGAAAGAATGGACTAATCAGGAATTAATAAAGCAATAAATTGAGGTAGGGATGCACCGATATGAGTTTTTGGACGATATAGATAACCAATAACACTTAGGATTTGAAGGCTGATGGCCGATATACTATAGCTGATAAATACAAATATTTCAAAATGTTATATTTTAAAATTTGATTTTTGAACTAGGTGACGCAGTGGCGCAGTAGGTAGTGCTGTCGCCTCACAGCAAGAAGGTCGCTGGTTCAAGCCTCGGCTGGGTCAGTTGGCGTTTCTGTGTGGAGTTTGCATGTTCTCCCTGCATTCGCGTGGGTTTTCTCCAGGTGCTCCGGTTTCCCCCACAGTCCAAAGACATGCCGTACAGGTGAATTGGGTAGGCTAAATTGTTTGTAGTGTATGAGTGTGTGTGTGAATGCAGTGTTCAACTATTTAATAAGTGAACATTACATAAATATTAAATATGTATTCTTTTCTTTTCGAATAAACAGCTAGTGATAAGTTGAAAGAACACAAGACAGATATTTGCTTGACAAATGGGATTGATATTGGTAAAATATTCATAACTTATTATTATTATTAACTTTTATTATTATTATTATTATGCCTGAATAATGTACAGTAAATGATCAAGGAATGCAATAGTTTGAAAACCAATTATACACATTTAAAAAACAAAAAAAACATTCTCCATGGAAATGAACTGTGATAGAAGATGCCATTCAAATAAGTCAAGTCCAACATTTTTGATAAATCATTGAGTAAGCATAGTGCTTTAAAATTGTGATAATCCAAAAGCAGCTCAGTCCACATATGTATTTGCACCATTTTCTCTGGTAATTAATTGTTATGCAATACATGTAGGCCTAAATTGGGACTAACCTTGTAGCATATGCATGAAAAGTATTAAAACAATGCAAGATTGGTACAGATCAAGTTAGTTAATTTATGAGCAACATCTCTTTCTTCATTCCACTTAACATCTCTTTCTTCATCTCTTTCTTCATTCCACTTAATGAAGCTGACTAATCCCAGAGATGGGTTGTGGCTGGAAGGGCATCCGCTGCGTTAAAGTGTGCTGGATAAGTTGGCGGTTCATTCCACTGTGGCGACCCCGGATTAATAAAGGGACTAAGCCAACAAGAAAATTAATTAATTAATTAATTAATGCGTAGACTATAGTTGAATAATTAGATTTTTTTGTTATCCTAACCCATTTGCCTCATGTAACTAACTGTTAAAAAGGTTAAATCAAAATATGATGCTGGTTTAATAACTCAGGGCACTGAATGAAAAATACTTGTTTATTTGAACATCATATTTTGCTTATTATACATCTTGCTCAACCCACACTGATTTATAAAAGACACTTAAACAATTAAAATGTCCACATGAGTAATTTTGCACAGTGTATTTTTCCTCCTTTGTATTCCATTCCTGAGCATCTTGATCTCTATAAGCAAACTTGCTTTAAAACAGTGTTTAACTTGCTCACAATTACTACACAATGAAATCAACGCTACTGAAGGAAGGCTATCCAACATTGGCAATAACAATGGCTCGTTTTCCTGCTTACCAAATTGCTTTCACCTTTTCCAATTGGGTTATACAGCAGTCATTTGTCTTAAAATGTGATTGGCTGAGCAGTTTTCCAAGACTTCATATTTCCTATGTTAGGCAATTTATGTCAAAATAATCTCTGTTTGTTAAATTAATAGTGAAAGTGGAGCTAGGAAGTAATCTCTGTCACTCTGCTCCCTATATGATCTACACCCGACCACTGTTTAGTGTCTGCAGCAAATCATGACATGGAGGGTTTTAGCTTCTTTTGGATCTATTTTAAGTGGAAAATCGAACTAACTAGCAAATTTGCCTAAAAGCAACTGGATATAAATAAAATGTATATTTAGAGCGTGGCTGAGATTACCTGTAATCAAATAGAGTGCTAAACTGCTCATCTAATTTTTTTTCTGGCCTTGGTTCCAGAAATATTTTCCCAATTATTTTAAAGGAACATTTTTTTAAATTGTTGTAATCGTTAAGGAAACCAAACCAAACAGCTTTGAAAAGAGCCATGACTTCATGAACTTTGATTTAAAGTAAAAACAAAGATATGAATATAAATATATTAAATGTTTAAGAGTGTCATTTGAGATTACATAGGAAAACTATAATATCCACAAATGAATTGAGCACTAAAGAGCTTTTTTGCTGATTAAAAAAAGTAGGCAAGTGCTGATTGTGATATTTTGTATCTATGTGGCTTTTTTCCATGATAAACAGTTTAGGTTGAAGTTCCTTGTTTCCTGGTATGTTGAGATGTGATTTCTAACACTGTGTGTTCTGGTGGACTTCACAGAATGTTTGTAAATGTAGTGCAGTGAAATACTTTAGTTTTCTGGAGTTAATTTGATTGTAGAATGGAGTTGTTAGTTTTGTAAATATCTGAACTGTATGTACAGAAGACAATTCAGCACTAAAAGCTGAACTGACAAGGGAATTAGGCCACATTGTGTACATAGCCTAAAGAATCTGTTAAAAATAAAGCTGCATTAAAACATACACTATTAGTTTACACCCTTTTAGCTCTATTTTTAACTATGAAAGGTTTACACATTCAAAATAAATCCCCCTACTCATAAAACAATGGGATATTTACTTCTGGAACCCAAACTATTGCACTCTATGTATAAGAGCTTTCCATAGCAGGCAGAGTCAACACAGTTTCTGTCCTTGGAAAAAGAAAAAAAAATAGAAACTGCATGAACGGTTCTATCACATTCGCAGTTTTTTTTTTCTTCTCTGCCCAGTCATCGCCTCTAATGTCATATAATTACATGCCACACAAACAATCTGGTGTCACACACCAATTGGATTCTCTGTGTCCTTGGTAACCAACTCCTCCTGCAACGCAGACGAGCCCTCCATTAAGTCCAGACCACGTTCTGTCAAAGAGGAGACGTCAGGTCCTGCACTGTAGCTTGTCCAGGATGCCTGGTCAGTTGTGGGAGAGACTAAACCCCAATTCTTACTGGCATCATATCCAGAACTGCCATAGACGGTTTGTTTGGAAGATGATGTGGCTCCACGTGCCAACAAAGCCTCACTTGACTCACCTGCTACTAGAACACTAGTTTTCAACACATGGCTAACTTCTGCTGTACTGAAAAGTCCTGATTTTCTTTGAATGTGTGTTGAGGCAGATGTCCCTGCTTGGTCGGTTTTCTTCATTTTTGTTGTGGGGATATCAATAAGGCCTTCATGACCTTTTTTATCACCCCAATGCATTTGAGAAGTGGACAGGTCATATGTTGTTTGTGTTGATTTCGGGCTAACCAGTGATGTATTATTCACCTTAGTAGACACGTCACTTACTGAGATGTTACTTGTGTTTATAGCCATAACTGTAGTCGTCATCAAAACATCGGACCGTCCAGACACTGAAGCAGACGTTGGTTTCCATATCAAACTGTAATAAATAGCCAGTATTATAGCAGCCAACGACACCGACAAGACATATGCGAAAACAGTAGCCAGTCTCACCCACTTTTTATTGGTTTTAGCAGCCATTTTAGCTTTTTTGTCTCCTGTGTATGTCGCCGGTTTGCCCCTTTCCATGTTTGGCATAAAGTCCCGTTCCCTCATGTTGGCGCGGATTCTCCCTCTGTGCTCCTGTACGCCGTCCGTCTTGAACGCTTGTTATTGACGGCTGATTGAAGAAAACTGCTGACGGTTTACACAGCGTTTGTCGGGTATCCACGCTGTGTTTTATTCATTCATCATTCCTCCAATTTTGCAAATCCACAGGAGCAGTGTGTTTTCAGCATGACAGCGGCGAGTGGAGCTTATTCAAGCAGTACGCGTCCACAGCGCCTGGGTGACCAGTGGGTATTGACGCAATAAGCAAACGCAGAGCTGAGATGCGATTGATGTGCAGAATGACATGTGAAAGGACATATAGAGAACATCTGTGTTTTGCGGTGAAGGGACCGATGGAAAATGAAGGGAGGCGGGTCTCACTAGTGCGCACTAACAAGTCGCAGCCCACAGCTAAACGTCATCCTGTCAGAATCCCCCCTGACTGTGCTGGGGTCGTTGACATATAACACGGTTACATTTAAAGGGAAACTGTTCCACATATGCTTAGAAAATAAACGAGAAAATGCATTTGATCGATTTCTCGTGCATTAGAAGGAATAAAATGGTCTTATAAGCAAAATCGTCAGCATGATGTACAGAATGTCGTTTTTTCAGGCATATTTAACAATTTGATGGTATATTAAAAATGTAAAGGCATATGCTATTATGTAAAAGAAATATAAAGATCGCACGTGCCGCAGCACAATACAGTTAAATCTGTATACTTTGCCATTATTTTTTATTACGTAAAAGATTGCTAAATTGAAAATTATAGTATTATATAACCATTTATTCTTTTAAATGCAGGCAGAATTAGTATGTAATTTAACCTAAACAGCTACACCAAATGATGAAAATTAAATATTGTTTCATAATGGTGGCATATTTTCTTCTTTCTTTCTTTCTTTCTTTCTTTCTTTCTTTCTTTCTTTCTTTCTTTCTTTCTTTCTTTCTTTCTTTCTTTCTTTCTTTCTTTCTTTTTTTTTTTGGTCACAGGTCTTGAATTAGCCTAATTGGTTTTTACATGCTTTTTTGCAAAAAAAAATTCTATTGTCTACTTTTAAATATGTTATATTTGGTGTATTCAGTAATTTGTTTCATCTAGTTCTGTCTCATTTTGTAGATCTAAGAAGTTAGAAGTTTCAGAAATGGTCAAACAAAGCAATATTTTTTTTTACTAGATCTGTGTAAAAGTACTTCTCAGATGTAGAACATTTTCTTTCCTTTTTTAGTATTGTATTTGTTATATTATGGAATGTTTGGTATTTATGTTTGGCTGTATGTGAAGTTTTGACATATTTGTCACCAAGTATATGGATGCCACCAGCTGGGCAAATAGCTACACTACAACTAAAGTAAAAAACCAACATGAAATGATGCATAAACATTAATAAATGCTTAATTTACAACTGTCAGCAAGCATGTATTTAATTAATTACTATACTATTTTCTACCTGTAACAATTTGACATTTATTGAATGGTCATACTTGTAAATTATTTCTGTTGGTTATTTATTGCAAAAACAATTAAATAAACTCAATATCCCAAAGTAGATCTGATTTAGGGAGAAGAGAGTTAATTGTAATTCTGTTTTTCTTAAGTGAGCTGTATTTACACTCAGCTTTACTCAGATACATCTTTGACCAGAAAATACATTTTTTGATGACAGGTTTTGGCAGTGTCAGAAAAACTTAAACCTTTTCTTTTTGGGGGGAGGGTTTGGCTCACAGGTATTTAGGACCTAGTTTACATATTGTATTATAGTAAAACTCATGACCAGTAATCAAATCAAAGCTATTTGCATCTTGAGCTCATTTGTGATCTGGTTTTCTATACCCATTTTATCCAGTTATTATAGTTTTATCAGAATGAAAATAACAAAAGTATTCTATGTATATGCTGGGTTGCATTGTTTTGTCTGTATATACATCAACGACAGCAATCACACAAACTTTAACTAATAATATTAATGTGTATTCAAACTGAAAACAAACAACAACAACAACAACACTTTTTAGTTTATTGGTGTTAAAACAAATTAAATTAATTTAGATAGATTTGAAAATTGAACAATAGGATGTTTGTAATACATTATTTTATTTAAAGGTTTAGTCTTTTGTTTCCCAGCACTGGAAGTTCACAAGTTCATGTACTCTCAGTGGTGGGCTGGGAAGGGCATCTGCCACCTAAAACATATGGCAGAGTAATTGGCGGTTCATTCTACTGTGACGATCCCTGATACATCTGAGTTGAAAGAATGTGCGTGGGTTTAGTGTTTTTTAAAATCAGATGGTGAACGTATTACACATTCAGAGGAAGTGATGTCATAGTCAAAGTACATAAGACTGGGAATCGAGAACAAAAGCTGTTACCAATAGAAGAAAAATGCATGTGTTCTTGTGCCCATTTCTTGGATTGCTGTTCTGCTTTGTTTATGCAGGTAATACAGAAAAATGGCTGTCAGACTTAAGAAATGCTTTATGTTATTATTTTTATGATTATGTTTATGATCATTATTATTGTTGTTGTAGATATGGAGCTTGATGAAATTACAGCAGGTAAGTAAAAAGAAAAAACAATCTCTAACCTAATATGAATAATGAATACAATAATTAAAAGATTAAGTTTGATTAGATTAGTTTTTCTTTGACACATTTGTCTGGTATATTTAATATTCAGTCTGTCCCTTTTTTCATGTTTTTTTTTTCTAATGTAAAGATGTTGTCTTGATTTTCATAAGGTGCTAAGTTGCCTGTAGAAATCGGAAAGCCTGTCAGTTTGCCTTGCCTTAATAAGGTGGAACAGAATTCTTGCAGTAAAGTGACATGGCTGTCTAATGAGAGTCCTACTGTTGAACTTGTCAGTCTTGGCATACGCAAATCAGAGCGGTTAGATAGAAAAAACAGAGTGAGTCTGTTGACCGACTGCGCTCTACACTTCAGTCAAGTCAAGCCCCAAAATCTTGGATGCTTCACCTGTCGACAGTTTTCAGGTTTGGGTGGAGAACAAATTAAAGAGGATTCCAGAATTTGCTTGTTTATTAAAAAAGGTAAAGCAAAGACTGCTTAATTTTATATGCTCATATTCATCAACCTTGATTCTGTCTAAATTATCTATTTATCAGTGTGTGCCTTTCTCTTTCAGACGCTACTGCTACCACTGCTACTACTACTACCACTACTACTACTGCTACTACTACACAAAGCTATGGTAATTTGCTCAAGCTTTTAGATTAAATAGAATTTTTACTTTGAAAGTGAAATATATTTCTGCTATAGTGTACTTTTTGCTATTGTAACTGATTATACCCACTCTATAAAGCTGTTCCCACTTTTATGTCAAACTGTTGATTCTAGAATTTCTAAACATTAATAGATCATATTATTGTAAATGTTTTAGCAAAATGCAACCCACGTCCTCCCAAACATTTCCCCCTAATATTATTATTAGGTTTCCCCCCCATTTTTTTCCAGATACAACTTCTATGGACAATATTGTTAGTTTATCAGACAGCGCAGAAGACAGTAAGTAAACTATTTGTCTAATTATTTCTAATAACTGTGCAGTGTTCAACATTAGTCTTATATATGCATCTGTCATCAGCATGTTGTTCTTATTTACGAGTAGATCAAAATGAGTTGCTGGATGAATATTTACAGCTTTACATAAATGTAAAATATTGCAATGTAAAAAAATATACATTATTTATCCATTAACTTGTGAATCATGGCTGTTTTTCACTTATTAGAATTAGAATGATTGGAATTGCATTGTGGGACCTTGATAACCGCTCTGACAACACTTGATGTTGAAAAGTTCAACAAAGAGATTGAGTTTTTATCATTTGAAATTATACGTTTTCTGGCTTGGTCTTTACATTATTTACAGTGCCATGACATAAGATGACAGCATGTTTTCTATTATTGTAGACTTGAATATTATATTTTTATTTTGACCTTAAAGCAACATAGAGCAATACAAAAAGCAACTACTATTATAAAGACAGAAAAGGCAAAAAAAAAAAAAAAAAATAGATAGAAAAAAAAAAAGATTTTAAAACCATTATTACATCAATTTCTCCAGTTTTATACATAGGTAAACAATGTTATATTTCTTGGCCAGTGGGCACAGGCAATATGGTGATCTTGCAAACAATGACAGGGTCATGCCGTTAAACTGTTATGCTTGACATTTGACAAAAAATAAACAAGGGTTTCCAGGTGGCTTCGAAGCCAGCAATGCTATCAGAAAGATTATGTCTAAGTTTCTCTAAATGTAAAGTGCTAAAAAATTCTGGATTTAAAAAGAACATTTGATGCCTTTTTCCATAGACATACAAAAAATTCTTTTAGCCATCACCATTTCATATTGGACAGCATTTTAAATTTGATGTCTGAACCCATGAGGTGATTCAGACCAACTAAAAACAAGGTCACGCGAATAAGCCTTAGAATCTAATAATTTCAGTCCAAATTAAAAATGTTTTGGGCGTGACCATAAAAGATGTCCTGATGAGCCTTCCGCAGGTTCACATTTGTTACATGTAGAGGAGATGGCGGGGTAGACTTTGTTAAGCTTAACCTTAGAATAATGAAGCTGACGTACTACTTTATATTGGATTAGTTGGCATCTTGAATTATTAGAACATGTAGGCATATTTATGACCTTGATAGACTTTTACAAGTCTAATGAAGAGAGCTCAAACCAACTGAGTACTTTAAAACCCAATACGTTAAGGCAACTCAAACTGTTTAAGGAAACCAATTGCTACAAATTATTTGAGTTAAAAATCTACATGAGTACAGTGAACTTACTCCATTTAAGTTAAAGTAATGAGGTATTTAATTAACTCATTACCTTCAACACAAACTGTTTTCAAATGAGTAGAATGAACTATCAGTCTATTTTGAGTTAACTACACTCATTTCATTTGATAAAGTTGACTGTTGGGTTTTACAGTGTTTAACAAAAAGGTTTTTTTTGCAAGGACATTATCTACAGATTGTATTATTACAATGAAAAATAGCAAGAGAATGTAAATAAATAAACTAATCATTTAATTAATTAAAATATTTCAAATAATATGTTTTTGCTATTATTTTACAGAATCATTCATTATAATCCCAATAGTGCTAGTGGTTGGTGCTTTTTCATTGGCTGCACTTATTATCACCTGGCTCAGATATCACAAGAAAGCACAAAGTAAGTGGTCACCTCAGACTTGGTCACCTCACAGGTCTCAGGTATCTATCGCATCTTAGGGCGTACTCACACTATGTACAGTTGCTTCGAACTGGGCCAAAGCACACTTGTCCCCTCTCCCGTCTCCCACAACAGCCCGCACTCACATTACATTCGGGCCTGCTCAGGCACACATCTTCCAACCGGGCCAGGGCAGGCCAAGTGAACTGTGCCTGAGCCCGATTCAACGCACTCACACTTATCAAACGGTCCGGGAACTGGGCCTGAGCACGGAATGGATAGCATAGTGTGAGTAGGCCCTCAAGCTCTGCGCTTACTTTCATTCTAACAATTATAGAAAGTAAAAAACTCATTTAAAACCTTATTTTAGATGTTTATTGCAGTTAAAACATAAGAAGAAGATTCTGACTCAAGAGTCTTATTTTTGTAAAAGTCACGGGTTCACTTTTGTGGTGAATGTATTGCACATTTTGAGGAAGTGATGTCAGATTTGTATCACATTGTAGGAACCGAGAGCAAAACCTACTCTCAGAGAAAAAAATAGCTGTATTTTCATGCTAAATATACTGCCAGAAAAATAGCAGTCATGTGTTGACCATTATTCATAATTTTAGGAATTTTAACAAATAGTTATGCTGTTTATTAAACAACATTTAACAGTCTTACTACTTTTGTGTTGTTTATATTTAAAACATAATAATGTGCACCTTTTTTTTCTTTTTTAGTGACAGCATCAAATGAAAAACAACACACACTGAATCCTGAAACTGAAACTACTACAAACAAATTCCACAAAGTGAGTAAAATGCAAACAGTATTATTCCGAATTTTATCTTTTCATTAACTAAGATGACATAATTCTGACTGCTTGAACAGGGTGAAGATGTGGTGACTTACATTGAATTGAACTACAATGTACTGAAACCAAGTAAAGAAGACATAAACAACCAATATCAAAAAACTGAATATGCAGTGATAAAAATGTCCTAATTGTCTGTGATAAATAAACCTGAATTGTACAAAAGAAAAATGTGTTGCTTTTATGGAGAAAATGAGTGGTGTGTAGAAGATAATTTCTCATTAGAGTATGAAGATTCCATGAGGTCATTGTCAGTGTTTTTAATTCTTTATTGAAATATTCAAAATCCTTTAATTTCATGAATTTTTATAAACGTTCATGTAAAAATAAAGTCTCTTCATTTATTATTTGCTCTTAAACTATGTTTGTTGTATGTTCAAAACACTACTATTTAAATTAAGCTGAAACAGGATTATTGACATTTTTTTTCATAAAACTTAATTGTTTCACGTTTCATTCACTTAAATTTGTAAAAACTAATAAGTTAACTTATTTCTTTCATGTTGTCCCAACACAAATTGATTGTGTGAAACCCAGCATTTTTGTACAATGTATATAAATTAGGACAGGATTCCAAATTGTGGAACTGTGATTTTTTTTTTTTTTAATAATCATAATATAAATACGAAAGTCATAGTTTTGTAGAAACTGTAATAATAATGTATTTTCTTGTTTCAGCTTCATTAAAATGAGTTCATGATCTTTCTGTCTTATTCTACATGTCTTACTATTGAATTAGTTTCTTAAAATATTGATCTGAAAGGGATGTGAATATATTTTGTAAAATAAAATGTGGAGTGGGACAAAGTTGAATCTAAAAGCAGTAAAATAAATACATTTAATTGAATTGAAAATCAATGAATCCTATATTGTGTTTTAATTACCTGATTATTAATTTTATTAAACTGCTAGTCACAATGAAGCGTGTGAAATCTGAGGGCAGAGAAGTTTGTCTATCTGAGAACAGAATTTTTAAAAGCTACACCCATCCTTTTTCATTTTTTTCAATCTTTACTCATCAGTGGTTTGTTATGCTTCCTATAAATCCAATGAGTCAGGAGGGCAAACTGTAGGTCACCAACATGGATGATTTTTTTTATTAATTAGTTTTTCAGGATAACATATTTGCATGAATTAGAGTTCAGTAATTATGATGTTTTGAGAAATTGTTCACATTTTAAAGGCCTATACTTTAGATGTGAAATTTAAAGTTACAGCACCAAAAAAAAAAAAAAAAAAAAAAACTAAACAAAAAACTAACTAACTAACAAACAAACAAACAAACAAACAAACAAACAAACTAAATTACTGGTGCATATTTTGTTAAATTGACAATTTTTTTGTATTCTTTAACTCTAAAACCCAATTTAATGAAATGCAATGCATAATTCAAAATACTGGAACTCAACACAATCTCATTGCAATTTCTAACTTTCCTTTTTTTACAGTAATGGCTAATCTTGTTCACACTGCATGTTCATATAATCTGCTATATATTGTTTTTAGAGGCTGGGTTACATTTTCATAAATGAGTTTGAAAACAAAAAAATCGATAAAAATTGTTTAAAAATACTTTGTAAAAAAATAAGTTTAGCCATACTTTTGAAGGCCGTACATACAACTATTATAACAACTGAAATTGTATTGACTGACTACATAATAAACTGTTTTTAAAAATGTAAAAATGCAGAATATATATATTTTTTTTCTGTGAGGGTTGTGTTTAGGGGTAGTAAACAGATTTAAATTTACAAAATATATGTTTTGTACAGTATGAAAAATCATTATGTCTGTGGGAAAAAAATATATAGTCGTACAGACGTGTCTATTTTTCCCACAAAAGTTGCTCTATAAAGGACTGTAATGGATTTATATTTCCTCAAACACATAAATTCATTATATGTTGCAATTGTGGACTGCTGTTTTTGTCATAATGAAACTGTGATGTAATCACTGAGCTTAACCCTAAAGACATCACAAGAATGGAATTATATATACACTTAATAATAGGTAACTTAAAAAACTTTCATCAAAATTAACTAAATGATATCCTAAACAATCAAATTTCATCTGTATGTTAAATAACATAACTAATAAATAAATAAATAAACTAATAAATAAATAAATAAATAAATAGTGATGTGACTCTAATTTGGACTGAATCATAAAGACAGGACAGGACACAATGTACCCCCTTCCCTAAAAAACAAAAAACAGCCAATAGCGTATCGTTTTTATTACAGCTTTACAATGAGAGTGGATGAGCTTAAAGTCCCAATGAACCGGAAGCTACGATAGTTATTATTATTATTATTATTTGTATTGTGACGCAGTTCCTGTAGAAAATGAATTTTTCTACCGTGAGCTGAATGGATGCATTCAGAAAGATCAGGAAAAGGGTTGTAGAAAAGTTATTACAGCCTAACAGACTCCTCTTGCTTACTATTTCTGTTTGTTGTCAAAAATGACCGTTGAACCAGCGTGGTTAAGTATGTTAGCCATGCTCATTACCTCAAAATCACATAATTTGAGAATAAAACAAACAGGAAGTGCATTTTCAGATTTCAATTAAAGATTAGTAGGGCAAACTATTTTTTTATTACATGTACAGGTGAATTTTTCACCACAAAACTAGCAATGTGAGCTAACAAAATCGAATGATTAGTTTTGATTTCTTGGAGACTTTAGGCACATATAGCAATAGCATTTTCAAGGGGTTGGGACATATCAGATTGAGAGCATTTGATCTGTTAGATTTTCATTTTAACGGAAGAGGCAAATGGCTAGTTTGGATGCTTTATGCAAATTTAGTCACTGTTTTAGAGCACATTAGCTTATCTTTATCCTCATAATGATACTAAAATATTAAAAAAAAATAATAATATTGATATCATGGGGACTTTAAATGAACTTTTTCCACAGTGTGCAGCATATATAGTTCATTCATTTCAGCTTAGTTCCTTTATTAATCTGTGGTCATCACAGCGGAATGAACCACCAACTTATCCAGCATATGTTTTATGCAGCGGATGCCCTTCCAGCTGCGACCCATTACAAGGAAACACCTATACGCTTTAATTCACACACATACACTACGTACAGTTTAGCTTACCTAATTCACCCGTACCACGTCTTTGGACTTGTGGGGGAAACCGGAGCACCCGGAGGAATTCCACGCGAACACAGGAAGAACATGCAAACTGCACACAGAAATGCCAACTGACCCACCTGAGGCTCGAACCAGCAACCTTCTTGTTGTGAGGCAATTGTGCTACCCACTACACCCCCGTGCTAGTTCACTCAAAAAAAAAATGCAGTTTGCTGTTTGTTCAAACTACTTGTTTAAAATGAGCTGAAACAACACAATTATTGTTTTCTTGAGGGGGGAGGGGTTTTTAGGAGGGGAAGACAACTTAATTGTCTAATGTTCAATCCGCTTGAATTTGTAAAAACTAAAGTTGACTTAAGTTATTCATGTTAACTTAAATCTAATCAAGTGTGTGAAACCCAGCATTTTTACAGTTCTTTTAAAGAAATATCAATTAAATTTAGTTAAATTTTTTTTTAATTATTGCAGTTAATTCACTGTTAATGTCAGGGAACATTTCTTCTCTTAATTCTCTTATTTTCTCAAATAATTGATTGTTAAAATTAAACAAAGAAATGTAGCTGCATGTGACAGGCTTGAAAATAAACCAACAACCAAACAAATGCACATCCACCTCACCAGGGTGAGACTTTTTAGCACGGAAAACGAGGAAAAGTGTGATCTGAAAAGCGTTTCCTTATCTCTCTGCACCTTTGGCTAGTGTTTGGTGGTTAATGAGGTGAAGCGATGTTTCATGTTGAGTTGAGGCAGTAGGTGTGAAGGTCCTGCTCTTGACTCCACACGGCCAAGCTCAAGAACAAAAGGCCACAAGACTGTCCTTGTCTGTGTCCCACAGATCTCTGACGACCCCCCCCCAAACCCCCAAACATACACAAGCACAGCCCATTGACCAGCACATACACACAAGCCCAGCATGAGGCAGACCACCGGAGCCGGGCCAATGCTGCAGCATTAGCATTTTAAGCACAGGATGGAGAGAAAACACTGGAGGTGTTGTAGAGCACAACGGCTCATCAGTGTTTCAGCTACACATTTCAGAAATATCTAGGAGTGTAAAAAAAATATTGTTGAATTACTGATACTGATATCTTTACTCAAATAAAAACGTGAGTAAATGTAAAATATTAGTTCAAACTTTACTTAATTCTCTCAAAATTTGACATTTTCCTAGTATTTATTCAATATACAGTAGAGTTTTTGTTGTGTTTCTTGAGCAAATATCTAATTATTTTTAAATGTAGAAGGATTTTCTAGACATTTAAAAAAAATAGCCAAAATGAGTAAGTTCTTCCCTAAAACTATTTTTTTTTAAAACTGAAAACAACCTTATTTTACCTAAACCAACGGCTGATTGCTTGATTGAAAGTAAAAACATTTAATTGTAATGTATAATCTCTGAAAACAAAACAATATTTTAAGCTTATCTTTTTTAGCTTAAACATTTCATAATTGAATTTTTTTTTTTTGATATTTGGACTACACTGTAAAACATGCTGGGTTTCACACAATTTATTCATGGTTTCCCAACACAAATCGAGTAAGTAAACTAGTTAACTACTAATAATTAAGTAGATTGAACATAAAATAATCTGTCCAAAAAAAATCTCAACAATTGTTTTGTTTCAGCTCATGTTAAATAGTTTAGTTTAAACTTTATTATCCGTTCTGCTTGGCACAGAAAGGAAATGTGTCTTTAACACTGGTAACATACATACAGCCATACAACAATCACATAATAGCAACACTCGTCAAGACAACCAAATGAATTCAAATCTAAAAAATGTATTAGCTCCATACATATTACTGCAGATCACCTAACAACCGCACCATTCACATTAAACAGTGATCGGGTTTAATACAACAACTGCAATTAGGATAAATGACTTTTTATAAGCATTTCTTCAGGCTCTAGGAATTTGAAGCCTGCATCCTGATGGTAACAATTCAAAAACTGAGTGAAGGGGATGTGTATTATCTTTGAAAATCAAAACTGCTGTTTTGTTCCATGTGGAATAAAATAATATCTGCAGCGAAGGTTGTTTCTAACCTTCTTAATTGCCTGATTGATCATTTGCGATCATTTCTTCTTCTGTTTAGGTGTTGTGTTACCATAAAATGTAATCATAAAACAAATTATATGTGAGAAAACTCTCTATTTAGGATCCATATGCCATGTTTAAAGTCTGTGTACTAACATTAAAACTTCTCAACTTGTGGAAGAGACTTCTTATAAACAGCCTCTACATTAAATCAAAATTCAGTTTATTGTCAGTAATTGTGCTTAAATACATACAATTTGAGAGCTGCTCTA